GGGGCTGGGCGGCCGAGGGGCAGCTGGGGTCGCACCTCTGACGGGGGGAAACTCCCGCGGCACAAGATGGTATCTGCCCCTCCTTTCTGCCTCCTCCTCCCCCTCCCTCCTGCCGTGTGGCTCTCTCGCCATGATGATTGCAGCTAGCCGCCGTTTCTGCCTCCTTTCCTCCCGTACATCCTGCCTGGCTGTTTGCCCGCTGGAAGCGGGGAGGCGGGGGAGGGAAGCGTCCGCTTCTCCTCGGTGGTTTCCTGCCTCGCTACCAGGCCCCGGGGCTGAAATTCGCGTTGCTGGACTGCGGCGTGTGTCACCCTCAGGAGGGGCGGGCAGCGGCTGTGTTTACCTGTGGGCTTCAGGGGGTGCTTGTGGGTTTTTCAGTCTAACAAAATGTGAGTCGTGTGTCAGGTACTGAGACGTTTGCAGCGAATGAAACTGGAGTTAAAAAAATAAAATCTTTTTAGAGCTTATATTTCATGCAAGGTTGAGCTTTGTAATCAGATTTCACCTGCGTTCATCAAACTGGCACGTTAATGTGCTTTGGATGTGCTGGTTTAAAAAAAAAAAAAAAGAAGAAAAAAAACCATTACTTCCATGGCCAAGTCAGTTTTTAGTAAGTCTGAAGAGCGCTGTGCTGTTTATTTAGTTGGTGTCACTGTGTATATGTTCAGGGCCAAACATAAATAAATTGTCTGGTCTGCACTGTCGTGGATAGTGCTGATAGTCTTAAGGTCTTACGTGGACCCTCTTCAAACAGTAATTTAGTTTGGCCTCAGTGGATCTAGTTCTAATCTGAAAATGTGGAACAGAGTCAAATCTCAGGTTCTGTGGACCCCCCACAAACTTGTGTGGTGTCAATATTTTGGCTACTTGATATTATAGTAGCTTGTACTGTGTGGTTGCTCCTCGGGCTACCTCTCCCTGCAAGCCTTATTTTAAACCAAGTTGATAGTTTATGACTAAGAAGCACCTGTTATTTCCCCATGTTTCCCTCTCTTAACTCCCTCTTTCCTTCAGCTTCTGTATAGGTAAAGGATTTTATTTAATTTAGGTCTCAGGAGGACCCCTGGTTCTTGTTCAGAGTACGTTACTTGGAAGTAAGCTGTTTTCTTGCTTTTGTCTGGCAGGGCTGTCACTGTCAGGAAAATGATTTTCCTGTGTTTGTTTGACCGCTTTTCTGCGCGGAGAAATTGGTAGGTTGGGTTTGGAGTCTATAGTGCAGGCTCTGTTTTGTTATTGCCTTTCATTTGATTTTTGTATTAATTTACTCTTTCTCAACTTTGGCTATCCAAGCTTCCCTGGGAGTGCAAGTATTACTCCATATTGGTATCTGCCTGGCAGTGATCTAGGAGTTGCTCTTGTTAGTAGCACTTAGCATGAAGTCCGTGAACGTCTCATTTAGACATTAGCATTTTTATGTTACTCTTTGAGTAAGGTAGCCTTTAAACTAATAAAGTTGCACTGTTGTGTTGACAGTCTCTTCCTGTAATATAAGCAACTGTGAAAGTTTTATCTTAATGCCGCTGAATTTAACTTAAGGCCACAGAGATCTTCCCCTGTGTAGTAAACTGCTATAACCGGTATAACCAGTCAGGTTGTTCTCATGGCAAGCTCTATTGGAAGATGATGTGGCAGTTGAACGCTGCCAGACCTTGGTCAAAACGAGTTTCTGAGTTTCCAAACTTTTTTTTTTTTTTTTTTTGCTATTCAAGCTTCATGGGTGAAATACTGTTATTTCCAGGAAGGTTCAAACAATGGTCATGAGTTAGATGCTGGTAATTGGAATTAGAATTCCCTTGCTCCTTAACTGAGAAATAAAGAATTTAGTGCTTTTTAGGTACAGGTGACTTTCTCCACCTGTCAAGTTGTCATCATGAGAGAGGAAATTATATATGTGCAGCTGAAAGTGTGCAGGTTCAAGAAGATCAGTTATGACTGTATGGAAGGGAAGGTTTCTTGAATATCTCCTGCACAAGATGACGTTGTTCGGGCAAGGGAGGTGTCACATAGCGCAAAGTAAAAGTGCTACTGAACACTATTACAGAGCTGTCTTTTTTCCTTCGTGGAGGCTGAAACTAACAGTCTTCTGCTCTCTTCTCACTTATGCGTACTTTACAGGGCCAATTACTTGGGAATTCGTCAGAACAAATTAACTTTTTTGGAAGAGTTAAATAATAGCCTCTTTTCACTCTTAAACTGGTGTTGAAAGCTGCTGGTATGACTTGACAGAAAAATGTAACCAACATCTTAGCTAAAACTAAAAGTTAGGAAATAGCCTCAAAGACTCCTCAAATATCTTCTGTAACAGGGTTGGTCTGAAGCGGTTCATTCTTCAAGATGTTCTGTGAGTGCTCAACTTTAAAAATTACTCCAGAGACAAAATTATGCCACATGTTGCAGAAGCATTATAAATACAAAAGCCTGGGGAGTGAAGAATGCTACACAAAGAACCAAGCAGGCAAGAACAGTAGAAACATTTGACCTTTTGCATGTTGATAGTAATAATAGCCTCACCGTAGTTTTTCCCTGTGGCTATTGTTAGCCATGGCAAAATGAGGGGCATTTTGACCTGTTATGTAATCACTTACGTCAACCTTGGGAACTGTCTGTTCTGCGTTGTTTAAACAGTGTGTGGGTCCATCTTGCAGGTAGCTTCCTGGGAGTAACCACTGCTGTGGGACTGGTTGGCTGGTGTGCCAGGGTCTGAAAACAGTAATATAAAGGTTGAGTGGATTATGCATCTGTCAAGAGCATGCAGTCTGTGTTAATCATGCATGTGTACTCAAAGAACAGTGAAAGAAGATCACCCTGTATTGTTTTTGCTTTGCATGCAAAAAATGTGTTGCTAATCAAATCTCTTATTCATGGGTGTAAAATGATCTCCTGAGGGGTTTTAGAGAAGGTTATTCTCCCTTGTTCCTTCTCCCTGCATTATTCCCCCTCAGGTATAATAACGTTACTTCCTGACTTCTGCATGGGTGAATAAGGGAGGAGGGGCTGGGAATACTGGGAGCGTTGGCTGTGTCGGGAAATAAGGTATCTAAATAAGGGAGCCATTAATTTGAACTTATATAATGACATTTGTCCATATTTATAATTGTATAAATGTGAAAAGAGGTTGTCTGTATTTTTGTGCATCCACTTTTTTTCTCATAGGTTCTACAAAAGTGGAGATTTTCTAAGACTGAGACTCTAGAGTTGTTATGGGTAGAATGTGTCACAAAAACTGTGTTCTTACTATCTTTTATAATCTATGCACAGCAGGTATTCCATATGGCATTTTCTTTAAAAAAAAAATCCTATTTTTAAACTCATGAGCTAGATAGTATTAAAACCAATGTATCACAAAACAATTTGATAGTCATTTCAGAGAAATGAAGTAGATCTACATTTATAATGCGAGTAAGTACTGGGTTGCCTATTTCCCCAGCTCTGATGTTTATTTGCAGAGTGAGGATAGACCTGCCACTTGACTTGTCTCCAAACTGTTCTTCCATAAAACACCTACAGTACTTACCTCATCCTATCTGAAGGACATCAGCTCAGTGTGCTTCATAAATATAAATGGGAAACTAGTAGTCAAGTGAAAGCTTTTACATGAGGACAAGCTGATACCGTGTGCTATTCTTATGTTATTTCAGTAATATGCAGATGGAAAAATCAGTATAATCTGAAAAGCAATTTAAAACTAATTTTATATGTGCTTATGTGTATAAGCTGTCTTTCTACATATATGATGAAGCTCTCCATGCAAGATGGTTTATCTAGAAAGGACTATTGTTTGCTGGCTAATCGGTCGGCTGTGAGTCTACCAGCATTTATGTGACGTATTTTGTTCTGAGACTGTGTACACTACATTGTAACTACGTGTACCGTTCTTGTCAATGCTTTTGAGATAAACCACTATTTCTAGGAATTTGACATTCTGCTATGTAAAAAGGCTGAAAACCAGCTCTGCACTTCATCTCAGTACATGTCCTGCTCTGGAAACAAAGGGATCAGCTAAGCCTGTGAGTTTAAGAATTGATACTCTTTCTCAATTTTGTAAAGCAAAATTTGATTTTAAAAGAAAAAAAGATTTGTTTTTGTGTGTGTGTGTGTGTGTGTGTTTTTTAAGAGGAATACTACCAGTATGGGTTCTTGTGCTTATGTAGGAGCAAAAATAGTCTTTAAAATGCTGATGTGGTGCCAAATTTCCATTTCTTCATGTAGGCTAAAGCTTTTATCTCTTAACAGTTTGGGTGTTGACAACCAATGGAGTTCGAATGGGTTTAAACTCTTAAGTTTCAGACATAAGCAAAAAATAACCTTATGATGTGCAAACTTGTTGTGTGTTATCTGCAACTGATTAACTTGTACATATTGGGGTTGGGAATAGAAAAATTCTAAATGACAGTGGAAGAAACAGGGCCCTAGATATCATCCTCTGTTTAGACTGCATGAGGAATTAACCAGGATAATTTCTGATGTTAATTGTGTATTCTAAAATATTTATTCTACATGAGAGGCATAGTAATTGTTTTTGGAATAAAACAGCTCTTACAGTACTCTCTGCAGGAGCTACTGGTTATCTTCCTTGTGTAGACAGTATTAACTATGAATTTAAAACTTAGTGAAAGACTGATGATTGTGTACTTAGCACCAGTAGTACTACTCACATCGTTGGGTGTATTGTTTGCAGAGAGGTGCGTAGATAATACTCCAAAATGACAGAAGGAAGACCCAAAGCATCCATGTTTCTTCATACCCTATGCGTGATTTCTACTGTTGCAAGTCCTTAATCGCACAATCTCAGTCATTTAATGCATCCGCTTGTATTCTTGTGGTTTGTTTTCATGCAATTTACTAGCCTGAAAAAGAAGGCAAAGGGAGTATTATATTGTCTGTTTACACAGAAGAAGTTTGAGCCTCCAGTTTCACTCTGAATCGTCTGTTGTTTTGAGTTATTCATGCTTGCATTTTTCTGTACATCTAGTTTTGTTATCGATACTTCTCTTTTGATCTTTAAAGGATCAAAACAAATTGTCTAGAGTAAATGAAATTTTTGCCAGTTGAGTCCTGATAAATATCGAAAAGGAGAAAATGGAGGAAATCATGTGTAGAAATATGTTACTTCTGGAAGTATTTACAGTGAAAGAAAAAATTGGTTCCAGTGGCCTTCATGGGGTACACCATGGGCCAAGTGCAATGTTGCTCAACATACTGTTGAATTTTTTTTTTCCCTGAGTAATTCAGCAGATCACCGTTACATTTCTGTTCTGAGAGAACTGGTGTAGGTTTTTTTTTCATGATTTAGCCATGTAACTCAGGTGGTTAATTCAGAAACTTTCATTTCTGTTCACTGAAAGGAAAGTGGTAAGGTTCCAATTTAGGTGCTCTGAGTTGCTCTTTGGAGGCACTTTTGACTGTTATAGGTTGCTTAGTGAAAGTAAGGTTCATATTGTAATTTAGGCACTGCGATTAGATGATTGAAGTCAAACAGCATGAATTTCTTCCCTCCTCTGGTGTATGGGTATAGTGGCAGAAGTTATTCTTCTGTATAATGGATATTCTTTCCTCTGTGCTTCTTCTAAGAATGTGTGAAACTTCTTTCTAGATGTCAACGTCTGAAGTCAGATGAACAGAGTGATTCTGTTGATACAAATTCTCCCTTACAAGGTTGCAACATTTGTTTTCCTAAAAAGTTGTGGATAAGCTATAAGATACATGCTTCTTGGAAAAAAGCAAGGTTATGGATCCATCTGTGGTAAAGGCATCAACAAAAAGCTGTAGTGAATGTAACTAACTGTGCTAATGCAACACTTGCATACCAGTTAGGCTGGCTTCTTGAATTAATAAACAAGTGCATCAGTGAGTAGTCTAACAGAATTAAACTACTCATGGAATTAAAACTGAGCATGGATGAGTCTGCAGGATTAGAACATCAGTAAGAGCTTTAGAGGGAAAATTAAATCTTATCATTTGTCATAGATATATCTTAGCTGAATTACAGTGGTAGCTATTCATGTAGTTGGCCCTATACCTGTAAGTATCTTGCATACTCAAGTACCTATACAGGCCCTGAGGTCAGTTTTCACTACTGTCTTGCATTGGTAATGTAATTCAGATCAATAGGCTGCTCCATTTCCTTTTGCTAGGGAAACATAAAATGAAAGATGACTCATTGGCTCTGCACATCTCTAGGCAGATCAGAGAAGAAACAACTCTGCCATAGCTAATCTTCACCTTGCAGTGAGACTACATCTTGTGCTAGAAGTCCATTTATATGATTCAGTTGGATCACCTCTTTGAGGGAATAGAGGGGGGTCAGTAGGTTGCCAACAAAGAGCTGTTACAGAGGCACAGATGGCATTGATTCCCTAACCCAAGCAGATTGCTTCCTTTCAGAGTACTTTACATAAATGAATCTATCAGTCTTACAGCTAGAACTCTTTGAAGTTCTCCTTGTATTTTATTACCTAGTACCACTCTACTATTCCTTTTAGGAGTCTCTTGGAAAGCTGTTGGTTTTAATAAAACGTTTATAAAGTGAATCAGCGACAATGCATGATTCTGTCACACTTGTAGCTATAAGTTGATTTTTTTGTTTTGTTTTTTGTTTTTAAGTGAGAATTTGATGGGATTTGAGGATCCTGAGAACATATTAGCTGCCTTAAAAGGATAGTTAACTGAGAGGATACTGCTAGCTATTAAGTGAAAGTGCAAACTTATCTCCTGTGTCTGTTTTCATGAACAGATTATGGCTTGTTGTATTCTGCTCTGTTTTTCATTCTATTCTCTTTTGTTTCTGGATGCATCTCAGAAGAATGTATTGTTTGATCTACGGCCTTCCTATGTAACTATAGTAGGTTATCTTTGGATACTAATCTTGGCCTGTAGATCAGCATTCATGAACTGTAGATCAACTTTGAAGGGATTTCAGCTCATCCTTTGGTTCTAAGAACTGGTGGCTGAGTCAACGGTTTGTTTTAGAAACGGTTGAAAAGATTTCTGTTTGCAGTCTCTGCTTGCTGTTTTCTTCTACAGGATCTGTTGGCTGAGCAATTAGTCTAAGTGCTATATAATCCATGCTCAACCAAAGGCAGATACCTGAATGAGAGGAAAAGATTGTTGTGGTTATTCATATCCCTGTAACCTAGAAAAGCACTGAGATCTGAATTTTGCTTACCGTCATTTTTTATTTTCTGGTAAACATAAGTGTATCTGAGTGATGTTAATATACTGTTATGATGTTATATTGTTTGTTATCAATTTGACTGTTGGAAAGAAGGCAATCATAGTGACTTTTTCCTATAAATAATCTCCAGACACTAACTGGATAATGTTGTTTAGCTTTTGGGAAACCAGACAAGTTGTGCTGCAACAAACTATAATGCAATAAGGCTGAAAAAGAGAAGCAAGCAAGTACAAATGGAAGGTAAGCACAGGGAGTGCTAGACTTCAGGTCCCTCGAATCACCAAGATAGCATTTTTGGTAATTTTCCTGTTTGCAGAGAACATCAATGGTGTACTCAAATGGTCTTGGAGGGTATAAAGGATAAGAGGATTTTCCACAGTCATGTGGAATAGAAATGCCATTCTCTAACAAGGGTGTCATCCATCATGTTTCCTTCCAGCAGCATGGTTACTAAAATATTCAATTGGTGATGCAGTATGCTAGAAGTATTATGAAGTTCTGTGTGAATTCCAGATATTTTGGCTACCCATGGAAATAATTTGTAGGTAGTCTACACAGCAGATAAATTGCAACAGATGCAGAAGTGACATAGCTGACTGTTTGCAGACCCATCTTGGTTTCAGCATGTCGTGTTAGCACATCTTGTTAGCTCTGGCAGAGCACTGCCTGAATGCAATTGTGCTGTTTCTAAAGCCCGACTGAGTCTAGAAACCGTTCAGCTCTGTTTCACAGTGTCCAGGCCAATATGCTCTGTCAGACCTGATTTGGCTAAATGCGGTCCTCCTGTCTGGTATCTGTCTGCAGTCGGGGAGATGTGTGAAATATGCTGAAGTTTCTTGGTGGCTCCACAGAGGGTCAGCTAGGGATTTTCAGAGTGTCAGCAGAGTTTATGAACACAGCCAGGTTTGAATGGATTTGGAAGTTTTGGCGCTGTGATCTTGTCCTCTAGGAAGTCTTGTTACGGATAGGGCCAGCTCAGATTTGACGCTGAAACTGAGGGAGCAATCTGTCGCAGAATGTGGGGAAGCACATGAGGAATTACTGGAGCAATGTGTGAACTTCTCCAGAAAGCCTCAGATCCTCCACTTTGTCTACAGCAATCAACATGGGTCTGCATACAGTTAGCTGTAGTCTAGTAGTGTTTTCCCTAGCATGCTCTGTAGCACCTATTATCTTCTGTCTCTCCCCCTGCTCCCCGTTATCCAGAGTATCCCTACCTTTTGTTAGCCAAGATAAGGTGGCCTGTCACAGAGATTGGCTGTGATTTTTTTCAAAGAAGGTGCTGGTGGACTCTAGCTATTATCATGTGCCTCCATCGTAGTCAGGCTTGGCAAAGGACAACTCTAGTTATTTTTGGTCAGGATGTTCATCTCGTTCTTCGAAAGCGTGGCAGAGTTCGAAAGCTAAAGTACTCAAAGGTTGCATGCTCGCTCTTTGGCCTCTTTCTGCAGCCTCAGGGCCTGCATTTCATGACTACAGGGATTCTTTATGTCATATGGTTATGAAGTGTTCCCTATAATACCTTGCTACTTACCTGGACTGTTTCCAATCCCTGTTTATTAGCATCTCATTTGCAGCTAGGGTTCTGTGACTGTGGCATTTCTTTGAAAAAACTTGCTGCTTTCCCAGCTGTTTTTAATAATTTCCTTTGTTAAACTGAACCAATATCTTAATGCTTTCTGGTTTTGGGGGCTGGAATAGACAGTAATAATACATGAAATTAGGAATCATTAAAAATGTGGATGAATTCCAGCCCCATCACAAGCTTTAAGATGACTGCTAAGACAATTTGCATAGCTATGCGTGTAGCAACATCTGAAGAATGAAAGTTCTCTTAATGTTGAAAGAAGTTTTCAGGTATGAATGAAAATCAACATGATTAAAAGCTGAAAAAATTTTAGATAACATTGGAAAAGAAAACATTCTGTACTCTTTTGTGTAATCAGCGTTCGTGATGCAGTATGTGGTACTGCTGTCCGTTTATACCACCGTGGTGGAAAGTTTTCTGCAGTAGGAACAATGCTGTCAGCAGATTGCTTCTTTCCAATATCGTGATCTTTGGTGTGGTACAAATTTTCAGAATCATGCAGGTTGGAGGGGGCCCCTGGAGGTCACTTACCCAACCTCCTGCTCAAAGCAGGTCCAGTTAGAGTAAACTGCTCAGGCTGTATCCAGATGAGTCTTCAGTATCTCCAGGGACAAAGATTCCACAACCTTGCTGGGCAGTTTGTTCCAGTGTTTGACTGCCCTCATGGTGACATATTTTTTCCCTTATTTTTACATTAGAATTCCGTGTGTTTCAGCTTGTGTCAGTGGCCTCTTGTCCTTCCAGTGTGCACCTCTGAGAACAGTTTGACTCTCTCTTCTCTACATCCTTGCATTAGGTAGTTGTAGACAGCAATAAGACATGAGTCTATTGGTCTGATTTTCTTACAGCTGAACAAACCCAGTTCACTCGGCGTCTCTTTGTATGTTAGGTTCTCCAGACCCTACCT